TGTACCTTGATCCGACACGCGTAGCCTCGATTGTGCTCAAAACAGTTTTGACGGCAAAACGGCTAGGTCGCCTCCCATTTCCGTATGCCGTTTCCGCACTTGCATGTGCCCATTTTGTCGTTTTGCGTGTTTTAGGCATAATAGTAGCCGTTTGTGATATTATGTGACGTAATCTTCTATTTCAGACGGTGGTGAGTTAGGTGGAGCCGGTGGGGCCTACTAGCTACTCTTCGCGACGCGAATTTCGTCCTTTTGTTATCCTTGTTCGTTGAGTAAGTATTCACACCGCTCTTATGTGTTAGTTGCTTATGTGTTTCGATATGTATGAAGAGAGTATCTAGGCGAGGGTGTACTTTATCGCACTCGACCTAAACCCTAATTTACGCACATATTTGTACATGGCATATGTATATGAATCATTTTGGAACTAAACCCCTTGAACTTGTGGCTCGGGGTGATTTTTGAGTAAATTTTGTGAAATTTGTGAGTTTGGGGCCCGATCTCATGACCTAGATGGACTATTCAAGCCGGTTAGGGTTTGGTCGAAGTCAGTCCAATCTGGTTTGAGGTCACCAAGTTTGTGAATCCGGTTCACCGATTATGTGGACCAAGTTTGTGACCCGAGCTTGTGAACCAAGCTCAATTTCGTTCGCTCGAGCAAGTTTATGAGGTGTCTGGCCAGAGAGGGTGATAAGGTGTATGGTGGGAGTACAAGTGAAGTTCTACGAACCATTATTTGTGGTCGACGGAGTGTCGGCAGGAGATCACGCATGGCAAACGATCTGGTTTTGGAGCCACCTGTATCCTTATCATGTGATGTTACTTTTCTGCTTTTGCTTTACTCTTACTGTGTAACTGTTGTTACGTGAAATTTACGCTTTTGCCCCTGTTTACTTACTAAGCATATAGCTTACCCCTTTTCTTTTGTTTTCCTTAGCAGGGGCCGACGCGGGGACTTTTGGCACATACACTGGGTATAGTTAGGTGTGCTTGTTTAGCTAGACGTTTAAGTCGTTTCTTTTATTTTGATGGCCTGTATAAGAACCTCTTTTTGGGTCTACTTTATATATTGGGTGACTAACTTATGGTGATGTAGTAAACAGAATACATATTTTGGAGAATGTAATTATAACTCTTTTGGGATTGTATATAGTATGTATAGTACTCTTTTGGATTTTCTAGCTTTTATTGTTTTAAATTTTGAGTCCTGGCGCGAGCTAGACAGGGACCCGCCGATAGCTTTGGATTCGCCCTTGGGAGAAGTGGGATCGTCACAATAAATCAGATGTGATAAAGATGGATTGAGTATAGATGCAGGTGGATAGTGGAGTGGCTGCAGAGCGAAATGAAATACTAGTGGTAATATTCTTGGGAAAAATTTTTAGTTTTGTAAAATATTTTCAGGAAAGCGTATCAAACACCAAAAAAAAAAAAAGGTAAACTAATTATTTTCCAAAAAAAAATTTTCATTGGAACAACATAATGACACGATATAGGATTCTCATATAGGATTCTCCGCATTTAGATTCTTCTACCTTTTTCAAAAGAACAACATAATGACATGATACCATACCAATAAAGAATAGTGTTCAGTTAGGTTTTCATTTGATTTTTAACTCATATTTCCTAGCCATTTCATTAGTATCATTAATAATTCTGTTTAAGAATTCATGGTGTAATATGAATAAATATTTTATAGAAATGATAATATGATATAATGGATATAAATTAAAATTAACTTGTAATGAAATGAATATTTTGAGAGTAGAAAAATATTTGCAACATATCAACAAACATATCAGAAAATATTTTCATTGACAAACCAAATACCGAAAAATTATGAAAAAAGGAATTTAGAAAATATTTTCACTTAAGAACCAAACATCGAAAAATTATGGAGAAGGAAGTGATTTTTCAGGAAAATGACTTCGATGGAAGGAAAATATTTTTGGTCTAACCAAATGGACCCTAAGAGTAACTTATAATCAATGCGACCCATACGTGGGTCCTGTTTTCAAATGATTTTGATTGTGTAAAAATTGATTATAAAAAAATCAGAATAAAAAATAAAATATATATATTTAATTTTCTTTAAGGTAAAAAACTAAATTTTTTGATATAAAAATATAGTTGAGATTTGAGAACAGCTGAATTTTTTTTTTTTCAAAATCAGGATTTAGAGTCAAGTATTGAGCCTGAGTTAAGAACTAGGTGGTAACATAGAAAAGATAAAGAGAACTAAATTTGAGTTTTGGACAATTTCATTGGCGTTTGAAATTATTCATTTGGATATATCTAAGTTGTTAAATATTTGACGGGCATTGCTGATTTACAAAGAGTTTACAAATGTGTTTAGATAGGAGATTTTTTGAAATATTATCTGCAATAATTACTATAATATCTTTTTAAGATGTGATGTATGTGAGATAGAAATATAATTAAAAATATACAAAGTTGATTGACAATATTGTATTTATGATATAAACAAAGTATTATTTGAAATAATTTTACTATCCAAACACATTTTTTGCTTGTTACAGGAATTAAACTTGTGATTTGAGCAGTCGGGCTCGCCGAGAAAAAGACAAAACTTCAGTGGGAGATAAATCAATGAACGTTTGGCACAGCCTACTGGTTTCGATAGCCCTTGTGAAAATTTCAAAAAGGGAACGAGTTACAACCAAGCCCATACGATCCAACTCCGTCTGTTGTCCTTGGGCCCACTGTTGGAGTTAAGCCACTGTTGGAGTAAATTCCTGCTCTGGCCTAAATACTAAAATCATGGATTTGTTAAACCTTCAGGAAGCGCTACTACATGTCACATATGCATGAAATGACTCTGATTGAGATGTGGAAGCTTAAGGCGGCCTTGTTTCGATTGAAGTTTTCGAAAGAAAATATTTTATGTTTTTTGGGGATATTTCATAATTATTTTTTAACCTCACATACATAAAATTGATATAATATATTATATTATTCCATATAAACTCCAAAAAATAACAATTCAAATGCATAGAAACATGTTTTCAATTTTCAGAAAACAGGATAAAATGCATCTTCTAATTTTTTTTTAATATCACATACAAGATACACTCGTATATGTTTATAGTATAATTTTGCTTAAAAACATGTGATGATTTTAGAAAACCTCCTCTAAGATCTTTAACAATTACATCTACCTTTTTCTAAAAATTGATAAATTATTTTTACTTCCCTTGATGCTATGAAAAAACTAGGAAAGCCTTCAAAATATGGCTTAACTTTTCCTGCAAAAAAATGGACTTAAAATGTTCACATAATAGATAATGGTGATAGTTACCTTTTCAACATTTAATTTGTTTTACATATTAGAGAGGGTTAATATTGAATATTCAGTGATTTTTTTCTTTTTTTTGCACTTACATCATTAATGTTTTATCAAGACATACTTTTAGGGAATGTTATATAATTTTTCAAACATTAGAAGAGGTCGTTGCAATTGTCAAAAACCTCAAGGTGATGTTTTTGAAATTATCCCTGAAAATGTTAAGGATCGTGAATGGTGCTCAGCAGCTGCCGTAGTACCGCGGTAACTTCGCTTGGGTCAGTAACAATTTATGAAGAAGAGAAAAGCCGACCCATAACTTCGCTTGGTGTCCTTCGGTAGCTTGCAGGGGGATATGGTTCCTGACCGTCGATCCCACCAGCAGCTTGGAGTCATATGGTTCGCAGCGGTCGATCCCACCAGTTCCATCGGTGATGAGGCTGATGGAACAGGTGCTAAAAGTGGCGGGGACTATTCTAAATTCTAAATCCAAGCCTGAAGGTGGAAACTGGGAACAGTTGTTGTACACTACTACACTCGCAGCGAAGTAGAGAAGAACAGGACATCCCATTTTGCCAAGAAATAGAAACCTTGCTAACAGGGAGCACCTACTAGTAGCATTATTCAGCATGGTTATTAAACTCGGCTTAGTCCGACGGTTCAATCGATCAACCCGATGAATCGATCATAAAATCGAGTTAAATTCTTAATAAGATCGTTTCTGTATTGAACCCGTTAACTTTTCAATGGATCGACAGTTAAATTAATCAATTTTATAAGGAACTCGATCTACGAAAAATTTTTATAACATTGCTAGAATGAAAATTTGAACGCGATGACCTCATGCAAAGAAGTAGACTACCATTACCACTAGACCAGCCCATCATTTGTTATTTATTTTGTTCTTATACTATATATTAGAGTCTTATTCTTATTTTATTTCTCTAAAACAAAATTTATTTGAAATTTTGTAATAATATTTTTATTATTCCATGAACTCTATAAATTATGAAATTGATTTAAAAATAACATATTACACAAATCATTTTAAAGACAAATATTATTCTTAATAAACTTTTGTACTTAAATTCATAAATAAATTAGATAATTACACTTAGATAAAATTTTATACTTGAAATTTGGTGGATTACTAATTAAATTTAGCTTATTAATTCTTATAAAAATTAAGGAATCTATAATAAATTAAACTAACTAAATATTTATTATGGTATAAAAATTATAAAACAAAATATTTACATATATGTAGTGACCTACCGATTGGATCACTCATCCATCGATTGAATCAATGGGTTTGTTTGGATTGTGTTTTATTTGGAATATTTTTACTGTAGCATTTTTTGTGATGTGATGTGTGTGAGATAAAAAGATAATTGGGAAGATAAAAAGGTGTATTGAAAATTATAATAATGATATAAGCAGATAAAATTGAAGAAATAAAATACAATCCAAACAAATCCAATAATCCGCTGACCCATCCCTTTCATCGGATTCCTCGCCAAAGCCAGGCCGGTTTAATAGCTATGCAAAGCAAAATTAAAAAAAATGAAGCTTTGGGAAAATAGCTGCGGAATCGAGGCATTTTCCTAAATTATATTCCATAAGATATTCTGAGGTCCGCTTTACACTTACAGACATTACTCCTAGTCCTACACTCTTACTGAGACATTTGCTGACGCACACTGTCCAACACACACACACGCAGCCACCCAGTCAGCCAGTCCTCTCGCTTTCTCTCTCTTCACTCTCCTCTCTCTCTCTCTCTCTCTCTCTCTCTCTCTCTCTTTTTCTGTCCGTCTTCTTGCCGTTTTGTTGGTTTGTCACAGAGACACTCCACTCGCTGCTGCTCCAGAGAGAGAGCGCTCCCAATGTCCTCTTTCTCGGGCCCGGCAAGAGAAACAAACAGATAATCGTTGTAGTCTCTTCTCTTGTCCAGGTGAACGCTGGTTGTCTTCCAGACAGACACCATAACACAAATAAGGCTTCCTTTCTCTTCTCCTCTCTTCTTTCTAATAGACTGAAAAAGGTGAAGGAAAACCAAGAAAGATAGTTGATGGGGAGGAGCTTCATACTCGTACTTGTTACTTCCCTTCTACTAATGCTCATTGGTAATGTGCCTATTTTTGTGTTCCGTCCTTTTTGATGTTTTCATTTCCCATTTTTGGCTCATTGTGCAGTCCTCCTCTTCTTTTGATCAACTGCTACTAGTAGTATTTGTTTCAGCACCGACATCTTGAATAGTTCTTTGGTCAAGGTGACTTGTTTTTTCGGGCTATGCACCCAACCCACTTAATCATTTACTAAAACTTTTCCTGTGGGGTATTTCTTTTTCTATAGTTTTGGGGTTTTTTTAAACCAATTTTGCACCATCCCTATTGTCTGTTTTATGTGTATTGTTTCTCAATCACTTTGCACTGTCAGTTCTGCATCTTTGTTATAACGTGCGCAACAATGCAGGGGAGAGGTGCTTGTTATGCGTTTGAGCCTTGTCATTTTTGCCTATTTACTGTTAATGGTTTTTTTTTTGAGCAATGCAAAACTTTGCTTCATTAGCTGCATAATTGGTGTAGATATAGCTTGAAGGAATATGAAGTGTGTTTGTTTGCCAATTTTTGCTAAGCTATGGTAAGTTCCATTAGCATTTAGACTAGATAATTGTTTAAGATGATTATATGTTGGATCCGGCTCCATCTATACACAAGTACACAAGGAAGGCTTGATGAAGCTACAAGTTCCTCAATATCTTTGTTAACACAATGTCAGAATGTGAGTCTTGGCGGTTTCTTGGACTTCAAATGAACAAGGAAGTCAAATGAATATTTTCCCCATCCCTCCTTGCTTGCTAGTGGTTCGTGTCTTTCTAATTCCAATTGTAGATTTAAGGAACATTTTTCTGATCTTTGGGCTAGAATTATGTTGTTGACATGGTCCTGTCTGTGATGTGAATTTATTATCTAAAGCAATATGTAATAACCTTGTGACAGAGTTGCATGCAGTTATTCTTTAGTACTGTTTTGCATCTTGCATATGCGTGCGTCTTTTTGTATACTCTTCCGTTGTTGCCATAGATAAACTATTTTAGGTGGAATTTGTCGTCTTCCATCGTTTTATTTTCTATGACAAGAGCAATATAAAACACTTCTATAGTTTCTTTTGGTGTTATTTTATTGCCTTAGCAGTCCTTTTGGGTGTGGCACCACCTGAATTCCTGAATTCTGTACTTTGAGTAGTTGATGTGCCTCGATGATGGGCGAAACTAATGTTCACCTTCGAACAAATGCAGTGTAAGAGACTATTCAGATGCCAACAATGATTCTTGGATATTCGTGTATGCAATGTCTTGTATCGGTCCATGCATTTGTCAGTAGATCACAGTCACTACCTCAATAACACTTAGGCTTAAAGCAGTTTACTGGAGCTTGGCTTCAAAGCACATGCTGTGATGCCGATGCAAATTTCTGATTGTTAAGATGCATGGAAAGCACACGAATGACTGTGGACTCCTTTTTTTACTTTTTCTTTCTTTGTCTGCTCCAATATTCTCCTCACTATCTACTTCAAGAAGTTAGTCAGATTAAATGTTATTTTTCTTTTTCTACTGAGACTTCACAAACAAAATTTGACAGGAGTGTGCCAAGGGAGCAAAGTTGGAGTTTGCTATGGAAGAAATGCTGATGATCTTCCCACACCAGATAAAGCTGTACAATTGATTCAAAATCATAACATTAAGTATGTGAGGATTTATGACTCTAACATCCAAGTTCTGAAGGCCTTTGCAAATAGTGGAATTGAGCTGGTGATTGGTATTCCAAATTCAGACTTGTTGCCATTCTCACAATTTCAATCTAATGCTGATACTTGGTTAAGAAACAACATTCTTCCATATTATCCAGCCACAAAGATCACATACATAACAGTTGGTGCTGAAGCCACTGAGGTTCCCAATAATGTCTCTGCGATGGTAGTACCTGCTATGCAGAATGTTTTCACTGCTCTGAGAAAGGCTGGTCTTCACAAGAAAATCAAAGTTTCCACTACTCATTCTTTGGGTGTTTTGTCCCGGTCATATCCACCTTCAGCAGGGGCTTTCAATAGTAGCTATGCATTCTTTCTGAGACCCTTGCTGGAATTTCTTGCTGAGAATCAGTCACCTTTCATGGTTGATACATACCCTTACTATGCCTACAGGGATTCCTCTAGCAATGTTTCCCTGGACTATGCTCTATTTGAGTCATCGTCTGAAGTAATCGACCCAAATACTGGTTTACTTTACACAAATATGTTTGATGCCCAGATTGATGCTATTTACTTTGCTTTGATGGCTCTCAATTTCAGAACCATTAAAATAATGGTGACCGAGACAGGCTGGCCTTCCAAAGGATCTCCTAAAGAAACAGTTGCAACTGCAGACAATGCCCAAACATACAACACAAATCTGATTCGCCATGTCATCAATGACACTGGCACTCCAGCAAAGCCAGGACAGGAGCTAGATGTATACATCTTTTCCTTGTTCAATGAGAACAGGAAACCAGGGTTAGAATCTGAGAGAAACTGGGGCTTATTTTTCCCGGACCAGACAAGTGTATACAACCTTGACTTCACTGGCAGGGGTACAGTGGATATCACAACAGGTGCCAACATCACCAGTTCAAATGAAACATGGTGTGTTGCAGCATCTAATGCTTCTGATGCTGACCTTCAGAATGCCCTCGATTGGGCTTGTGGATCTGGGAATGTGGATTGTTCTGCTATTCAGCCAAGTCAGCCTTGTTTTGAGCCAGATAACCTCATATCTCATGCATCATATGCTTTTAACGGTGTGAGTGCAGGCAAGTGGTCACCCACCCACCATAATGCCATATTCATATTTTGGATTCGACTTGGGTAGCAAAAGTCCGGGCAAATAGGCAAGTAACAGTCGAGAGGACGATATTTTTTTCAGAGCTGTTGGCATCATCTGATTCTTGAACAGCGACAGGAGCCTCCGAAAGCACTGCTCTTGTGGTACCGTCAAAATACTACTGCTCCGAAAGCACTGCATCTACCCAAAGATAAACGAGAGACAAAAGTTACAACAGTCATGGGTCATTATCTCAGACGACTGAGAGAAGAGAATTAAAACACAAGTTATCTAATGGATACGAACAAATGATGACACAAAGCGAATTTCAATACCTCATCCTCCTCGTTAATAATTGGCACAGGACAGGAGCCAGCAAATTATTATTATTATTGTCATCTACCCGTAGGCTTTGAAGCCTTCAGTGCATCGTACGTACTCAAGCTCAGTGTATACTGTGCTAGTACCATTTCTGCGCTAGAGGGGAAAGCGATCTCGATGTACTACTGTCCATCATCCGTGCTCCTTGCACTGAACGCCGAGGGATGCTAATGCTAGAAAACTTGACTGCTGCTGTTTGCTTTTTCTTCTTCAAGAAAATAAATGATAATGGCGTGATTTTTGCAAGCACTAAAAATGACAAAGAATATCTTTTTGCAAACTGTTATGCTACTACTACATCTATGGCGTATAGATAGAACGGTTGGAAAGAAAAAAGAGAGTAGTGTTAGGTGCAAAGTTCTTGACTTTTCAGCACTTCACCAATTAATCATACAATTATATTATATTACGGAGTGCACAGGAGAATTCGAATTTCGAAATCTGGTAGTGGGTAATCTGCTTCCTTCCCCCCCCCCGGGGTTTTCCCCATAAAATTCCCTTGCACTATTTAAGTCTCTGTTCATATATATGACAACTCGAGAACGAAGCGGTGAAATTGCAGAATTTTGCCAAAGTGAAGTGAGTGGAACAAGTTGACGACTGAAGAAGATTACCACCGAGGAAAAGAGAGACGAAGAGGAGAGAATATGGTTGGCTGAAGCAGGGATTTTGCAAAGAAGGAAAGTTTGGATTCCTAAGAGATTTGCATATGTGCGTAAGCGGTCACGAGATTGTCAGAGATGCCTGCTCTGCTGTTCTGTGCTGTGCTGAGGAAGGAGATGGACTCTGGGTGTGGTCTGCTTCTGGTTGTGGAGGGACTTTGGACGCGCTCTAATGAATAGTAACACCTTCCATTCCAATCCAAGCCTCAGGTTTCAGGTATCAATTCTATTCTATTCTATCTTACGTACGTTGTTCGGTTGTTGCATCGCATCTCTCTCCCTCTCTCTCTTTCTTTCTTTCTTCAATTCCTTCTTTAAGGACACGTCGCTCCACAAAGTAATCTTTTGCTTTTCTCTTTTTCCATTTTTACATCTTTTCAGAAAAGAGCCCCAGCCAGTTGGACGAATCTAAATTCGATCGAGACCCCTTCCTCCCTCCGCCCTTTTATTTATTTATTTATTTATTTAATATATACATATATATATACATATATATCTTTGTTAGTTACTACTTTTGTATACACTACTGGCTATATACACATTACTTGTATGCTTTTTATACTAAAACTTTATCGTCATTCGAATATCTTATTTTTTAAGTGACTAGATCAATAATGATTTTAAAGTTAAGGATTGGTCTTGTCTTTTGGGTTTGCGTGTCTACATACATACATACATACATACATACGCAATCCTCAGCCGCACCTTCTTGTCTGCTATGCTTCTTCTACGTAGTTTTCTGGGGGATCCTGTGTGGATATTTTCCCATTTCTAGTAATTGGTCAATGTATCTATATTCTACTAATAACTAATTAATGATGCTTGTCCATTACAACAATAATATTATTTAATTCTTAAGCACAGGCTACAACAAACTCTACCATCTTTACTTTATTTCCCAAGCTTGATTAGTATGGTGAAAAGCAAGGGAAGAGCTCAGCTTTCGTTAATTTGGACTACATTAGCCTGTAATGAAACTATGAACAAATTAATCTTAGGTTCCACTTTAATTTTTTGCTTGAAAATATTTGTTACTAATACCCATGAAAAGATTATTGTCTTGTCTACGACACTGACTTATATAAGTTTTAGTTTATAGATCAATGTATATGCAGAGGGGATCGGCTTGTGTAACAAGATACGAGCATTGAACAAACAAATTTTATGATACATGAAAGAGTTCAAGGCTCCAAGCTCACACATTTTTTCAACCTCTCGGAATTTCGTCTAGTACAAGATTTTCTCAGCCAGGGCAAAAAAAAAAAAAAACAAACAAACAGTACTGTAAAAGAATGGCAGCAGTTAACCAAGAATTAGAGATTTCCCTCTTGTCTTTGTAACCAAGAATTTTGATTATAAATCAACTGACTTCCTTCCAAATTTCCCTTTCATTTTCCACGTTCGTATGCACGATTTAGAGATGTTACTGTTGGACAACTTTCACAAAAAAGGAAGCACACCAGCTTTTTAGCTGTAAATTCTCAAATTATAGTCCCTTAGCTTTTGACACCCCGTTTTCAAGTTCCCTTAATCTCTCCTTCCTTCACATCATCACATGTGCCTTCTTAACCCCATCTCTAAAGTAGCAGTAGTAACTTCTCAGAAGCCTAGGCCCCCCTTTTCTCCCCCACCATCTTCTTTAGAGCGTTTTTCCTTACCTTTTTCTCTTTGAAAATTATCATCCCAGATAATGAGCTGCGAAGATGGTGCTATTTTCAGTTACAACTTCAGGCCTAAGGTTTCTCCAGACTTAATTCTTTTGAAGGCTTGACAAGCTAAGCCACATTTTCAAGAAAATGGGCAGAGCAACAAGGTGGTTGAAGAGTTTGTTTGGGATAAAGAGGGATAAGGGCCAGAAGGAGATTAATCCAAATTCCGGTAGCCAGAGAGAAAACAAATGGACGGGAATGGGCCATTCGGGAAGAGACACTGCTGATGGGCTGTGTTCAAATCCAAACACCATTCCACCCAATATTACCCCGGCTGAAGCTGCATGGTTGAGATCTTTTTACGCTGACTCTGGTGACAAGGAGCAAAGCAAGCATGCCATAGCAGTTGCTGCAGCCACCGCCGCTGCCGCTGACGCCGCCGTCGCCGCTGCACAGGCTGCGGTGGCCGTGGTTAGGCTCACCAGTCAGGGCAGAGGAGGGTCCATGTTTGGTGGTGGTGGTGGTAGTCGTGAAAAGTGGGCCGTTACAAAAATTCAAAGTGTTTTCCGCGGATTCTTGGTAATTAATTACTACTACTACTACTTTTGCTTCGAAGGTGTATAACGTATATTTGACTGACAGACACGGTTTCTCAGTATCGTAGTCACATCCGTTTCCTTGTCTTCTTTCTTTTTTTTTTTTGGCTGTCCCTTTTACCATTATATGCATTAATTTTGGTTCGTTCTTACTAGAAAAATGGAAATTGCTAAACGGGTATGGTGTGAATTAATCAGGCAAGGAAGGCACTGAGGGCTTTGAAAGGACTTGTGAAACTACAAGCACTAGTGAGAGGTTATTTGGTGCGTAAACAGGCGTTCGCTACATTTCACAGCATGCAAGCTCTTATAAGAGCACAGGCCAATGTTCGTGCCCAAAAAACTCGAGGCCTCCTCGATTCTACTGCTGCAAGTTCAAACCGGCAGTTTCATGCTGCAAATTCGGCGGTAAGAACTTGTCTCTGTGCATCTATTTTTGCAAGGAATTACATCTTAATTTAATTTGTGTCCATCTTGGTTAATTAGCAGGAAAAGTTTGATGAGGGTAGAAGTAGGCAGAATTCATTTCATAACAGAAGGCTCTCTGCATCGTTTGATAGCATTAACTCAAATGCAATCGATGAAATCCCAAAGATTGTGGAGATAGATACTGGAAGGCCTAAATCAAGATCCAGAAGAAGCAGCGCCTGGGTATCAGATTCCATTTCCGGGGATGCCCAGACTCTATCCTCTTCGTGTCAATGCCGACATCCTCCGCCCCACCTATCGATCCCTGATTGCAGAAACTCTCAAGACTCCGACTGGGGACTGACTGGGGACGAATGCCGCTTCTCCACCCCTCAAAGCACTCCCAGATTCTCCAATTCTTGTGGGACAAATCCACCTGTCACGCCAGCCAAGAGTGTTTGCGTGGAAAGCTTATTCAGGAATTGCCCAAATTATATGGCTAATACGCAGTCATTTAAGGCCAAACTGAGGTCTTACAGCGCACCGAAGCAAAGGCCTGAACCGGGGTCCAAGAGGAGGCTATCGCTCAATGAAATGATGGAGTCCAGAAGTAGTCTAAGTGGGGTCCGAATGCAGAGGTCATGCTCTCAAGTCCAAGAAGTTTTGAGTTTCAGGAATGCTGTTGTCGGTAGGCTTGCAAGGTCTTCAGAATTCTCAAAAGAGCAATTATACAACAGGGATTCTTACTCGGAAGAATATTTTGAGTAGCGATCGAAAGAATGTGCTGCAACTATCAATTCGCAAGCGCAAACAGAGCATGTAATTGTCTAGAATCTAGATCATCCTAGAGACATAGGGCAAGATGTAATCTTTACTCCCGTTTTCATTGAAGAAGTGATCAAGGTCGGTTATACCAGTACTGACGAGGTTAATAATAATTGTGTGTCTAATTTTTCGTGTTGCTTAGGTGTGCCGTTATTACAACATTAACTCGACCTCTGCACAAAAATGTACCGTACATCCAGTACCACAAATGCTGAGAGCCAACAATTCCTTTCCTGGAATCATTTGAAATGACAGGGCTTAGCTAGTTTGGACGGCAATGCTATGATTCATTATTGCCTCCGTCCCCCTCTCTGTGTGGTTGCATTCTAAGTATTCAAATTTTTTTTTTCTTTCACCTTTAGGGGCAGTACCGTCATAATTTGTTACGAGTGCTACAATGTCAATAGGATGATGACTTCTGTTGTCATGTGCGGGTGTGAGGTTGATGTGCTGCTGTATCTAATTTGAAATGGAAGAGCTATCTGGTTTTCTAATCTGAAGAAATAATGGGAATCTCATATGTGACCCACTTCTCCATTATGTAAACAAAAGATCACCATAACTTGGGCTAGTAGCATCTGTAGTCTGGGACCTCTCTGATTCATTCCATTGGCACATTACTTGGGCACTCTCAACAAGCTTTGCAGCCTTTTCTTGTTTCTTGTTTTGGCAGATAGAAAACAACTTGGCAGCCGAAGCTTTTAGGGTCGCTGGCTCATTTCTGCTGCAGCAACAACAACAAACAGCTACTACGACTGGGTTTCTTGTTTCATCAGCAGGATGGTGGGTGGTTAAGCAGCAACATTATTGCTTCCTATGGCTCCTCCCTAACACCAACAGCAATAGGCCTTTTATTGGGCGCAAGATAGTACAATTTTCCATTCCGCCTACGTGCCGAATTGTCAATTGTTGTTTTCTTTTGAGTTTTAGTTTTGACAATGGGCGTCGCAGAAGGCTTGATTCCAGCCTTCCATTTTTTGCGTCTTTATCTTCTTCTTGTCTTGTTGGATTATAATATCTAGACTATAGATGCCAGGTAGACTGGTAGGCTTGGTCAAGGACTCGAGATTCAGGAAGAAGGGGAAAAAGAGTAGGAAAAACTTTGTGCAACTTTAAGGTGTCGTAATTGTATAGCTAAATTACACCCCCTTCATCTAACGTGAAGGTTTGGATTCATGATAAAGGAGTATGAATTTAGCCCTCACTTAAAAAGTATAATGTGTGTTTCTACATTTAAATTAATTTATATGGTGATTCGATCATATTCTCAAGTCACGTTCATCATCGTTGGACGGGGAAATAAGTGTTTCTTAGATTATTATTGAAAGAAATAATTTCCTAAAAAGACCACAGAATTTTGTTTATCTTATATTCCCATTATATATCAGTAGCACGTGCTCTGCTGGTGAGTTAAATTATGGGGTGTTACTATAACGTAATGTTGTTACAGAAGTTGGTGGAAAGATAGCTAGCAAGAAATATGCTATAAGGAGAAATCTTGTTTTTATATAATCTTGTTTCACACTCATGTGATGTGAAACTTTGGGCCAATTTGAGTGCATATTGGACACATTTATTTGTCGCCTCCGCCCATGGACCCAATTTAAGACTGATGAGTGAATGAGGGCAGGATGTTTTCCACGCCAAACCTTTGACATCTTGAACTCACGATTTTTCTCTTGGATAAATAGAGCCCAACCCAAAGATCTGAGCAACAATGAATGCAATATATAGATTTCGGATTGGGACCTAAAATGAGTTGTGTCCCTTCCAGCCGAAGATTGTGCTGTTGTTGAAATTGTGACTTTCTAGACTGTAATTGTTCAGTGCGTGCGTTAGCAAAGAGCAACAGATGTAAATACCAAAATAGTAAACTAGACACTAAAAGTAATAGAGTAAATCTTATATACACACTATCACTGACTGACAGTATACACACTATCACCGTTGGATTCATGACACATGTGTAAAAATTGAATTTCAAATTCAAATTTTGCATAGTTATCATTCATTCAACGCTGACAGTGTATACAATGTCAGTGTAGGAAATATTAATTCAAAGTAATAATATGAAAAATATAGCAAATTAAGTTTTATAGACGAGATTGATTGGGGTACACCACGAAAAATTTAACGAGCAATGTTTAAAATTTTTGTGCCACAATCAATCTCATCTATCCAAATTCAATTTTCTACAAATGCAGGCTATAAACTTCATCATTCAATTGCTCCGCTATTTGCATAATAATTGCAGTCCAGAACGTGAACTGCAACATAACAAAGATAACGTTTAATTTCGCGAAATGTTATTTGACCTTCCATTTTTGTTAATCACATTTCTACTATCATTTTAATTATATAATTTTTTATTTAGTAGACTATATGATAAAATAAACGATGAAAGTGCAAATAACAAAAAAATAGAGTGCAGACAACATTTCCCTTTAATTTCAGATAAATTTTCCTTTTTCCTGTGTGGGCCGGGTGGATGCGCAATTTTCAAGCAGGATGGACAACAAGTGGGTTTGGTGCTTTGGATTGTGGGCTTAGAATAGAGGGAACGCTCGAGAGAGATTGGACCGTCTTACTACTGCTTAAGCCTAGCTGTCCTCTTAATCTTGGGTACACACAATTATAGGATTTGCCAGATAATTATCCCCTAAAATAATGGGATTCATTCAACCATCTGAATTAGAATCAAATTGTAAATCTCAATCTGAACTATTGTTAATCGTGTCTTGATCACAAGATTTCGAAATGATGCTTACCTTCCTTAAAACACCCTGATTCTTTTTATATTGTGCCAAAATTCTTTCTTAGACGCCGGGGCCCAAAAATTTGCGAAAACTGAAGAAGCATCTGCGGTGCAAGAATGTCGAATTCATTTACTCAGTACTTATTACTGATTTACAATGTCGGCCCAAAAAGGGAACAAAAAAAGAAAAGCAGAAAAAAAAGAAGCTCGTGTATGTTTGTTATCTTGATCATATTTTGATCCATTCAGAACCATCGATGAAGGCAAGCGAAATAAAAGGCTTTGCTTCCTCATCTGTAAGTTCTCTGGACCATGAAACTCTTCCTGCAAAACTTGCCCCTGCTCCGCTGCACTTGTATTGTCCATAAAACACCGTCCTGTGCAGATATAAGAAAGAGAAAAACAGCGTGAAATTTTAATGGCCTCAAAATAGCTATATGACCCCCGCAGGTAGTCCGACGGGTTTTGTAGTCTGGTAGTTATTAGCACGTTCTGTGATTGACCCTTGTATGCTATCTCATTGTGTATTATTGGAGTAAGATTTTATACAGGCTTAAGAGATTAGTCTGGTTGAAAGGTTGGAATACCTCCAAATGAAAAAAAAAATGGGCTCATGGGCCGACTATCATATGATTTTGTTAATTGGGCAAGCTACTATAATTAAAATGGGTGAGCTATTACAATCTTTTTTTGTGGTAAATAAATGTACCGAGTTAAATGTACACTATCCCCAAATTAACCATTTGTACAGATTTCTTAATGACTGATATCCAGTATAGTGCAATACTTGTGGTTGTACACGTGCATTAGAGACTTGTACATTGTAATCAGGTGCAATAAACAGTAGCCACAAACTAAAATTGTGTTCACATCCAGGGCATTCAATAATTTGGACTCTTCTACTTCTAGGACGTATCCAAGTCTTCAAGTACATGGCGCTTTCTGAAAGTTGAATATTCCTCCATATAGGAGCCTTGTGAAAGTTAGGTAAAGTTTGTTTAGGACACTTTAATGGTTGATTATAAGTGGATTATAGTAGACAAGAAGAATAGACACAAACTAAATAAGGAGTGAGAGTAAGTCAAGGTTATTGTCCTTGCTAGCTAGCTCTATATATATAGTGGCAAACAAACAACTGTCGCTGTGGAGATGCTTGTAAAGTGGTTGTGAGTTGTGACTGAATACTTTAAACAAAGTTGATAATCATGGTGGAAGAACAGTGTGATGCATGCTGGTGCTATAATAAGGAAAAGATAAGTTTGGATATACATATATAGTTCGAAATTGGGGTGGCACCGTCCCAATACCACCATCAAATGCAATGCTTTTGATGTGATACAAACTGACCTATAATTGGGCACCAAATAGATAGGCTATAATTGAGCACCATATAGATACGGATGGCCATATGTTATGTATAGTGGAGGAAGATGATAAAGATTTTGTAATTTTGCAGGGAGGTGATGATGAGGAAGAGCACTACTTACATTTCTCGACTAGGGTCACCCCAGTTATGCCAGCCTTTTGGAATGATAATGTTGTCCATATATGTGTAAGCGAAGATTACCCTGGAAAAGGGTCCCCATGCCCGTCCTAGGTACAGGGCTCCTGAACCCGTGACCTTACAGTTTACAAAGGAGAACCCTGTGTCCTCCAACAGGCTGCTTCTCCCTTGTGCTGTGACTGCCCCCGTTAACTGTGCTATTGCATGCACGTGACAACCCTGCGTTTACATTTTAACCATTATGTATTCTGCCATCATCATTTCATGATTTGAGCATAACTAGGTGCATGCAGATGCAGTACATAATTGGTTATGTAATGTACATTCTTAATAGTGTTTCTGTTTCACTAACATACAATAGTACCCAGAGGATTCTTGATTAGGATCAATGTACTTTCTCTAAATGCATATATAATGGTAGAAATTAGTGTTTCTATTCTAAGTTTAAGTTCTAGAGTAATATATATAGTTCTCTGGATCGAAGCATAAATTGATATATACAGAATGCTCCCTCCTAATTAATTTGGTTGCCAATATAAAAGCCATATGTTTCTTGCAACAATTCTCTTGAACTATCAGCTATAACAGGCGAGCTCTATGTTTAGTGCAGTAGGATCATTAGCTGGCAAATTGAAAAAGGAAAACCAAACTGTAAATAGAACGGAAACCGAACAAACTCTCCTGATGTAAGTGAAGCATGTCCACTTTCATGTAACACAGTGTTGCTTTTAGAAAAGACACGACTTGTATCTACCTCCACATTTCACGTCATCCCACAATGAATTCAAGAACATACAATTTTCATAAAAGGACATGCGATCCAAATTTCATCAAGTTTTAGTACTTTTTTCTTTTTTAAGTTTTAGTACTTTGTTTGTCCAATGTATGTTTTTAGTCCACACAAAAGTGTTCAATTGAACGAATTCAATTTCAACAGGTGAGACCAAAACCATATGAACATGCTAACGTGGCTTTATTAAGAACGAGGAACATGAAACAAGATGCAAGCACTGTAAAGTTTTAACTAACCACTGATATGCAAAGACAATAATATTATTGTTTGTCGATTTCTCAAGGGATCAGTGGAGATAGTTACCTCAAACAAAGAGAGCCCGTTACCAAAGATGAAATCCACAGAGCCTTCGATGTAACAATCTTTGTAATAATGCCTGCCTACGTGGTCATACAGCGTATCCTGTGCACCCAAGAATCTGCAACCCACAAAAACTGCTGTATCTGCCGATATCCTAAATGCAACAGCTTGCTTTCCAATGGCTCCTGGGGGTGGTACTGGAGTTGTATTCTGCATGCATTTTTTTTTTTTTTGGCAAATATTACGTGATCATGAGATTAAAATGTTAATTATGACTAGCCAATAACAAAAGAAGGGGAAAATGATATTACCTTGAATGTGATGTTCTTGGCTATGAAATATGGAGAATTCACAGCAAATGTTGCAGAAGCAAATGTGCCAAGAGGCTGGCCTTTTGCTCCGGGTGTTTGTGCTGTATCTCCCCATTGAACTATAGTTTTATCTGCTCCCGCTCCCTGTATGGTTATGTATGACTTCAGCTGAGGTATTGTAACCTTTTCCCTGGAAAACTCGCATTTTTGGGGGGGTCAAAAAGAAATGATCATTTGATGGAGAGAGAGCAACATGAAAATAATACCAACTGTGAAAAATGAGGAAGGATGAAAGAAAAGACGCATTTCAAAAACCACATGCAAAGTAGGTACCTGTAGTCAGGAAACCAGTTTGTAGCATATTGATCAGAAGCTAAAGGACAACGTGCAACAAACCGACATATTTCTTTTTCAATGGTGGCGAAATATAACAAAAACTTGAGCATGACTACCTCTTAAATGTACCATATTATATAGTAATGCACTATTTTCTCTCTTTCTCTCTTCTTGGTGGTAAAATTATGCATTTACCAAGCCTTGACAGAAAATACCACAAAGAACAGAGAAATGTATTGAGTATATCCTAAAACACTTACGTGTAAACACCCGCATGAACCTTGATCAACACTCTAACTAGATTAACAGTAGGGAGAGAATCAATAGCCTGCTGAATTGTAGTAAAGTCACCGTAGTTTGGATTTTTGTCGACCGTAAGAGTGTAAGAAGGGAAGAGCTTATTCTTGGCGGTCTTGAACACAGAGTGATTGAGGCTGCCAACAAAGTTTACCCACTTCATGAATTGTTGTTCAGAGTATTGGACTTGGGTCATATTCACTGCAAATAGCTTCCCTGAAGCTGTTCTTTTTGGCCTAATGCCTTTGGTGTGGCATACTACTGTATTGCTTCCATAGCTCAGAAGAATGAAAATGATAGAATGTACAAGAAGTTTAGAAGTGGGCATATCGATTGATCTCTACAGAATGAGAATGAGATCGAGAAGAGGAGAAAAGAAAAAGAAGGAAAAAAGCCGTACTAAGGAATGTTGTTTTGGGGTTAGGAAGTGCATTAAGCTGGCTCGTAAATTGGTTGTGTATATATATATATATATATCAGTACTACTTGGGAATTAGTGCTTAGTAGTAACTGCTGCTGCCTTTTCATTTTAGGTGGAAAAAGCGATGCTATATTTAGATGATCTTGACATGGAGTGAGAGGTCACGGGTGCCTCTAATTGAATCATTGTGGAATGTTGGGGAAGAACTAAGAAGGGGGAATGGTTGGGTTGGGGAGGGGGATCACAGGAAAACGATCTCAGACCACAAAGCGAGTCCTAGGGAGGCATGCACTTTTCGGCCTAACAAAAACGTTTCTTTCCGAGTTTTTAAAGCTCATTCAGAGTTGGTGGTGCCCGTGACTATCTCTATGTTTCCGTATGAAGCTGAACATATTCTGCTTTCAGAAATGACGTGTTTTTTGTGCAGCAGGGGAAATGTTTTTGGTACTCTATTTTTTTTTTTTTGTTATTTGCGCTCTTACCATTTGTTTTATCATATAATCTAATAAATAAAAAATTATATTATTAAAATGATAATGAGAGTGTGATAAGCAAAAAAAAGAAGTGTAAATAACATTTTTTGCACAGTAATTTCTAATTAGTTCTATTCAACATATAGTACAGGGAAGGGTGCTTGCTACTGTAGTTGCCAAACACTCGAGGAAATGTGGGTTTCTATCTTTGGTTTATATGCGTCACATGAATCACATATATTTGCTAACAAGTTCCAAAAGCCAATATCGTTGTAGAAGTTTGTCAGAGAAGAGGACTAGAAAGAAAGCTATTAGAACAAAAATTTTCTTTTACAGGAGGGATTTTAGATTCATGTAACATATACAAAAATCAAATTTTATATTTGAATAGAAATCATGCGTCATGTATCAACAAATGCTACTTTTGGAAATTTTTTTTAGATGGTGCAGAAAAAATTAATCTTAGAAATCTTTTTTCTTCTTCTAACCTTATTTGACACCCAATTGTTGTTCTTTTGGGCCAGGTTGATTTCACATTGTGCAAATTTATATCTCACCTTGTTGGCCCATGGACCCAATTCTAAAACCGTTGTGGCAATAGCAGGGTGTAGAAATACCTAATTCACTCTCTCCCACCCTCTCTCTCTCTTCTGGGTTTTTGAGTTTAGAGCCCAGAGGAAGGAAACCTTACATGTACACCTAATAGTGTGCCAAGTACATATTGTATTACAAATGATTATACACTCGTGCGTATAAATACATATAGGATGCGTATAAAGATGCATAAGTTAAGTATTATTTTCAGGAGTCACGGTCCTCGTCACCACGTTCTATTAACATTTGATAAGAATACACTTATCAATGCAACGTTGGGTTTTACACTCCAAATATTTCTTTTTTCGCTCACCCCTAAAATCATATTTCTTTGCACGGAAAAGACATTTATGGAGTATTTTATACACATAACCCAAGATGCTATTCTTTCTTGACTCGTACCATGCCAAACATGCCAATTAATAAACAAGTAGAGGCTGCAAATCTAGGTAATAATTGTACGATTATGGGCAAAAGTTAAAAACTTGGATAAATTCGATCTTGTAAATTTAGTGATTCAAATTTTATCAACTATTGAATATTTGAGCCGGAGAGATCGTATAGCAAATTTTAAACTACTAAATTTACATAGACCGAATCTATTCAAGTGTTTGTTCGGGCAAAATGCGACAAATTATATGAATTTAGCTTCATTGTCTATTTCTACATCAGTTGGCAAACAATCAAAGCTCTAAAAGCGACATAAATATATCAGGTTTTGGTTCGATGGGAACGGAATCAACATCAATTATTGAAAAGTTTACAAAAAACCGCATCTTACTCTTTGTCCTTCCTCTTCCTTGGAAATAACATCCATCACCCCACCCTCCCATCTGCCTTGCCCCACTTGGAAATAACCTTAAAAGGACCGAAAATAGTAGTAGTCTCAGAATATTTCTTGCAGACTAAACCCTGATTTCCATCTTAGGGAGAGCTCCCAAGAAGCATCTACTATTTCGTAAAATTTGTTCCGACCTCTAAAACTGTCATGAATACGAACGTGATCTCAAGCTTCATAGCCATAGCAACTTCCATCTCCTTCCTCCTCCTCTCACCCCCGTCAAAGTCCTTTTATCATTCCTTGTTCTTATCTGATTCCCTTTCATGCAATGAATCAATAGCAAACCACCTCTACATCCTAACCAAGCGGCCTCATGTTGCTGGGTCCGAAGCCAATGCCGAAGCAGCGGCTTATGTTCTATCCACCCTCACTTCCTATAAGGTTCGATCACATATAACAACCTATGAAGTTGCCTTGACTTACCCCATCTCACGTTCCTTGACCCTAAAACCTACTCCTCAAGACAGCCCCGTCAAGTTCGATCTCCACCAAGACATTTACGACGGTGATCCTCATGCCGACGTGGCAGACGAAGTCCTACCGACGTTCCACGCATATGCCAAGTCTGCCACTGTAGCTGGACCTGTAGTATATGCCAATTACGGGCGCGTACAGGACTATGCTGTATTGAAGCAAATGAAAGTAAATGTGTCAGGGAATGTTGTATTGGCAAAGTATGGAAAGATATACAGAGGGGACATTGTGGAAAATGCTTATGCAGAAGGTGCTATAGGTGTATTAATTTACACAGATAGGAAGGATTACGGTGGAGGAGGTGATGCAAAATGGTTTCCTGATGACAAGTGGATGCCTTCAAGTGGAGTCCAGGTGGGATCCGTGTACAATGGGGCCGGTGATCCCACTACACCTGGCTGGCCTAGTTCAGGGTTGTGCGAGAGACTATCAGATGATGATGCGGAGAAAGGAGGAGAAGTTCCATTGATACCATCATTACCTATTTCATGGGCTGATGGTGACAGAATCCTGAGGTCCATAGATGGACAAGTGGCAAATGACGATTGGCAGGGAGGGAAAGATGCTCCTGTCTACAAGGTTGGGCCAGGACCAGCAATTCTGAATCTTAGTTATACTGTAAGTCTCGAAAAACCAGCAAAATGTCGAATCTGTAGAGCTGAAACAGGCATGCAGTAACTAAGAAAGCCCATACCGTGAGTTTTGCAGGGAAAGCAAGTTATAACCACAATCCAAAATGTTATTGGAATCATTGAAGGTGTAGAAGAACCTGATAGGTAAGTTTGAATAATTCAAACATGCAATGTACAGCAAATTAATACGCATCTCTGAAACAATTCTGCATGATGAAATTGTCACGTAAGAAAACGACAAGCAAATTGTTATAGCAAGCCCTACAATAGAAATGATAGCCAAAATGAAATCATAATATTATTTTCCAAAAAACTGAGCCTGGATAAACAAAATCAAGCTTACCGAGTAACTTTCTAATGCTAGATTTTCCTCACACAGTTGAAAATTTTCTAGATATGTCATACTTGGGAATCACCGGGATGCATGGACATTTGGAGCTGTTGATCCAAATAGTGGTACAGCAGCCCTGCTTGAGGTATGTAAAATTTTGGTGCTTAAATCGTCTTAACATCCCTAGATTCAAATTCCAAGGAAAATAGCAGTTCAACTGATATTTTTGAGAGAGACAGGTTGCACACAGGATGTGGAAGCTCCAGGAAAAAGGTTGGAAACCTCGGCGAACAATTATATTTTGTAATTGGGATGCTGAAGAATATGGCCTGGTTTGTCTTTCGCTCCTCTCACTGTAGCACATTCACTCGTCCACATGCAGCCCTGGCTCCTTTCAAATAACCAAAGCCAGAAAGAGGCTGTGTGAGCTAATACAGGCAGAACATATTTGTTGTTTTAACTGAATTATAAGCAGTTCACCATCTTCAGATAGGATCAACAGAATGGGTTGAAGAGAACAGGGAAATGCTAGCATCAAGAGCTGTAGCCTATATGAATGTTGATATTGCAGTTCAAGGATTAGGATTTTATGCCTCTGCAACTCCACAGCTCGATGAGCTACTAATAAAAGCAACTAAGCAGGTACGAAACGAATCTCAAGGGTTGGGGCCACAGGGTTTTACAACATTGCCATATGCATTAACAATGATTGCATATGGTTAATCCACGTAGAAAGCAACAAGTTCAAAAATATATATATATAGAGGTGCAAATGTGGTTTAACAGCACAAGAATACCAGTCTGTCAAACTTCAAATGTCAATTTATGTTTTATCTTTCTATTCTCACTCAAATTAGATAAACTTCTGACTTAGGTCCAAGACCCGGATAACTCCTCGCAATCCATCTACCAATCCTGGATTCGCTCCAGTGAAAATCCTAAGGTAAGCATCTTAAGACAATTTAAATAAGAAAGAGAGTTGCATTAGAGTTCTTAAATGTGAACCTTGGGGTTGTGGGAGCAGGGTAAACATTACAAGCACTGAATAAATGGCCACGTCCTAGACCATTGTGCTACCACTTTGATTTATAATTTATCTTTACGAGATAACTCAATTGATGCTTTTCAACTAAGGCATTTAGCTACTTAGGTTTAAAATCAAACTGCCCCTGAATACCAAGAAATACTAAATCTAAAAGGTCAGCTTCTGGATTTCTGTGGCCTTGATAAGTGGCTTTTGGATTTCAATATTGACAAACTGACCAAAAGGTCTTTAAGATTGGAAGGTTAGGAGGAGGAGGATCAGATTATTCTGCCTTCGTTCAGCATGTTGGTGTTCCAGCTACTGATATCTCTTATGGAGAAGGTAAAATGAATATATTCTGGTAATCTTTTTCACAAAGCAAGAGATGCTTGCATCAATGGTTATTAGGCAGATATCCAATTAATTTCACCTTAATGTAATTTGCTCTGTCTTTTCATTAATTCCTTCACATAGTAAGCTCCTATGTCATCTCCAAAACAACCCCCGGCCCTCTTCCCAACCCCCCTGTCCTCTCCCCAGAAGGCAAAATAAATGAAAAAAAAAAGAGCAGAATCTAATAAGACCACTGAGCATTCAAAGCAAAACCTCGTACCATAAAGCATCCTAAATAAATATATCAGAGAAATAAATAGAAAAACAATGTAAAAGCTCAAAACTTAAAGCAATTTTTTTCTTTTTAAGCTATTCATGATTCTTCATGGTAAGAATCAATGAAGGGATTTACGGACCATGCAAGGAAAATTAATTTTTGTATAGTAGGACTAAGAAAGCAGTAGCTTCGACATACAAGCATTAAGAACCAAAAAAAAAAACTTCTAAAAGCAAAATAATCTTACCATCGTCTTTCCTCATAACAATTGGTCAGTGAGTGTGATGAAATTACATCAGCCAGTTCTCTAGCATCACTTACCATTTGTATGTATGTTCATTCTCCATAACGTTGTGTTATACCACTTGACTTTCATTACAAGAGAAATAATGACATTATACTCGTTAGGCTCTAAAGCAGTGTAGTATGACAAATCACAAATTTAGAAAAGCACAAAATCTCCATTTCTCTAAAAGAACACCCTACTAAGTATCATAGCTCTGGAGATATCGAGCATGTTAGCATATCTAGGCAAAAAACTTTATTTAGATCTGGTGCATATTATGTATAACACACTCGTATCAATCTAACCAGTATAGAAACAGTGCTAGATCAGGATCAACTCAGTACATTGAGTTTCTTACCTTGAACAATAACCTATAAAGAACATCTTTTTTAAAAAATGTCATAAAAACAAGGGGAAGACAGCAATAGAAAAAGAAAATTACAGGATGAGTTGAGAATAAGAGTCGGAGTAAATGGTACAGGGACATCAACCACAATGTATCAAACATTTAAGAGAAAACAATGGTGTAAGATCAAGTAGAAGAAGAAGAGACAGATTTTTTAACAGCCTCAAAACAAGGTTTGCTTACCCATTAATTACATACCTCCTGACTAATACACAGGCCATCCATCCACTCTCTGCTGCTAATTGACTAGGCTTAAAATTTTCATCTACAACCTGCACTAACTCTGAACAACATCAAATAGACACCACAGCCTAGAAATTAATCCAAAAGAATAGAGGGACCTGATGAAGATACAGATGCAAGATTGATAGGTCAAATGAGTACATTTTGCCAGATGTCTAGGACAAACTCTAATAGACACTAAGATCACCATGAATCAAGTTAGTTGTGAAGATCAATGTATTTCCCCACCCAATTACACTTCTAACGTTGCACAAAAGTCAAAACCTTGCCTCTCCCATGACACTCTTAGAGCATAAGAATCTTGAAAAAATATAATTTGCAGAAGAAAACAAAATAAAATCAGAATCAGACCAATACACTGAGAATTCTAGCGAATCATCCAAGGCACAATGTTCTATTCAGTTGTCTTGACAGGCATGCATTCAGACAGATTCTAGCCAACCCTTTAACATCACTAGCATACAAAGAACTGGTAATGACAGATGCATAATTATCATGGACTTAACTAGTTGCAATCGAGAAGCTTGTCTCCTTAAAAATGTGCATGAAACAAGAATTAACATTTTTATTGAGTACCATCATCTTTACTTACCACATTACAAACACGTGTTGAGGCTGTGCAATCAGAGTAGTTCATAGTACAAGAATTAATTCGTATAGACATGACCCAGTTGACCTTAAAAGTACATCATGTATAAATTTTTTTTTCCTTAAGAAACATAGACTTATTATTTCCAGCACTAGAGATTCTCTTCCAGCACAAAATATATCATACTAAGCAAAAACGCTAGGCATACTCCTTTTTAAGAATCGGTCCAATTCTTGAACTTTATGACTTCTAACGTTTTTCAACCATCACTTGACAAAATTTGGTGGCTTGTAGATTATCCAGTCTATCACTCAATGTATGATGACTTCATCTGGATGAAGAAATTTGGTGACCCAAAGTTTCACAGGCATGTAGCAGGTTAGTTATAATTTTCTGCTAGATAGTAGAATTTACTGCAATTGCATAGACATCTCAATGGCTTCTGAGATTAAAAGTTTCATCACATAATTGGGATGAGCTATTAATTAATCATCAGAAATGCCAATCTTACAGAATCGAAAGTCACAAAGCAACTCTTATGTTCAGTTTAAAACATAAATTAAGTTGATCCCGCTTTTGTAAATTCCCCACCATCCCCTTATTAGTAAATCAGTTAACATTTGGCAATGAAATCAAAAGTTGCAGGAATCACATGCATAATAAGACGGATAGTGTGCAGAGAAGTGCAAAAAATATATTATTTATTGGCCCTCTCCAAATGAAATTTCTTAGTTCAAGCGTCCATTTGGCTAAAAGAGTTCCTATAGAAGCAGGGTCTAAAATCAACATGGAAGAAAAACAACAAGACCAGGTTTCACTTATCAGGCATTCAAAAAATAATGCATATTAAATGGAAACACAACAAAATACTGAAAAACATTAAACATAGCAAAACACAGATTCATTTAACAGACAGTATTCAGCATAACTGACAGAAATACTATGTTGGAGAGATGTGTTAAAGGAGGAGGAAGAAAAAGAAAATTGCAAATAGGAAGAATTAAGATAAGGCGACGAAAAACTGACGGGCATAAAGGTTTCGAGCAGCAAGAAACAACAATAATTTATCCAATAGAGCCAAGAAACATCATAAGAACCTATGATTGTTTAGTTAGATGAACAATGTCAGAAATGACAACGAAAATATGACTTAATTCAAAAATTAAAAAAAAAAAATCAAATACAGAAGCTTACTGCTTGTGTCAGACACTACACACTTTCAAGGCACTGAAGGGAACTCAAAAGTTTCAAAAGAAACGAAAGATTACCTTAGACAAGTCATTGCATGCTCAAACACTTGCAGGACACATCTCACCAAATATTAAAATTGAGATAAATTTTCATGTATAAAGAAGAAACTTTTCATAAAAAATTTGGTAGCATGAGTAGTACACAGTAAAATTAGAATACGAACCTGTATCGAATATATCAAGTATCTGTTTCAGGCATTTGACAATCGACATGGATAGATACTGAATCAGACCCCTCTAATATGTTTTAAACCTAAAACAGACATCTTCTAACTCCATGTTATAGTAGATCATGCATATAGTGCTCCATGACACATGACTGCTCCACAACAAGTACCATTATTGTATGATTAAATTGTCACATTTCCTAATCTTCACGGAAGGATATAGGAGAAATAAGATGCTTTAAATCATGGTCTATATCGCATCAATGTCCATGAAAGATATTAAAATTTCAGTCAAACAAATATAGTCTCACAAAGATTAGCTGCATTCCGTATACATAGTTATTGCTCCATCATCACTAAATATACACATATTGTGATGCAAGAGCAAATTTAATATACAGATGTTGCTAGAGACGGATTTGTTATTCTATACCACTACTTGTATAAAAAAAATTCCTTCAATTGTGTTTTCATTCATGTTGTTTCCTATCATCCATTTTCACAAAAGAGACGAAAGTTCACTCAAACAATCTAAACCATTAGAAACATAGCTGCATTATGTACACAAATATTGCTTCATCATCAGTCACTGTTACAGTGGCTCATGTGATTCAACAGCAAACTTACATTGTTATAATGCTACAGGTAGATTTGTAGCTCCAGATATGTTATACTTAATATAAAAAAAATATACCCTTTAGTTGTGTTTTCAATCCTGTTGTTTTCTATCATCTATTTTGTCCAACACAATTCTACTTCAGCAGTTAAATCTTTTCATCAACTTGTTTCTTTTTGTGTACGAACAGTGACAAGTATTTGGGGTTTAGTAGCACTTCAGCTTGCTGATGAAGAATTTTTACCTTTTGATTATCTGTCCTATGCCAATGAGCTGCAGGTATGTTTCCTATAGTGGAGAAATGAGTATAATATACCTGCTTCTACAATTGAAAGTAATCTAATCTTTTGATTGTTTGATCCTGTAACTAGAGAAGTGTGGAAGACTTGAAAATTGAGTTGTCAGAAAAGGGCATAAAACTATTTCCCTTATTTAACTCTATCAAGGAACTGAGAATGGCAGCGACTAAAATTGCAAACGAGATAAAGGTACATCTCCAGCTCTATTAGTCAAAAACTTGGTAGAGATCTCTAAGTGTGCTAAATTTTATTGATAGAAGCACAATTCATTAGGTGCTACAAGACAGAAATGTTTGGGCTTCTGTATCAAAAAATGACCACTACAAAGTAAGAGAATTGAATGACAGACTAATGATGGCAGAGCGAGCATTCACTGACCGCGAAGGACTTCCTGGAAGGACATGGTACAAGCATTTGGTAAGCTTCTTTAAATCACCTGCAAGTGACCTTGTTGTAGCTAATTAAAAATTCAGTTAAGTGCTTGTTATTTCACCTTGATTGAAGGTTCTTATTTTTCTTCCATTACAAAGCACAAAAATGACATCTACTTAGACCAAAGAATTTCAGGAAAGAATAATCACAAAAGCATTTGGAACATCTAGCATACCAAAATGCGTGCAGCTGAAAATGACACTTTTGATAACTGAAACCAAATACTGACTGATGCTTTATATCATTCAGATATTTGCACCATCAAAGCACAATGATTATGGTTCTAAGTACTTCCCTGGAATAGATGATGCCATCGAAAAGGCCAAAAGCATTAACACCACAGACTTGTGGCTTGCAGTACAGCATGAAGTCTGGAGAGTATCTAGAGTGATTAAACATGCTTCACTGGTCCTCAGTGGTCAGTTAACATGACTACCGTCATCTTATACCCCTAAATTCCACGTGTGTATTTGCTATTAATACTAAAACAATTGGGTGACATCTGGTGGACTTGCTTTAGTTCAAGACTGAATCTGGGGATTTTATATTGCATTTTGTTTTTTTTCTTAGGTATACTATTGACTGTTCCTCATTTGACTCACTAATGGTTAGGAAAAAGAACTTGATGGTCACAAAGGGAGATAACCTGTAGTTAAGCTAAACATGCAAACGCCCAATCTGAGACCATTTCTAATAACCATGTAGTCCAAGTCCTAGCTGCATGATACAAAATTCCAACATAATTTCTCAGGGAAATGATTGGCAACTAAATATTTTACAGTTTATTCTTGATTTCTCAAATTTGGAAAATCAGTCTATTGGTGTGCTTCCATCTGAAGTGAAATTTTCAAGATCAATACCACAGACAGGCTCTCACAATGCCTCAAAAATTTCCATCCATCATTATTGCAGTTATCTCAAACGGGAGATAAATCCAATATTTAAAGAACTTCATAGTGGTTGAGCAAACAAAATACTACCTAATCCTGAGTCCAACAGCACTATAACAAATTCTTTTGACAGTTTCACAGTTGAGCCAGTAATGTGGCCTAGGCCAACAAATAAGAATTAAAGTTTCAAAATTAGAGGTCTAAATGGAGTACAACAGTTTCTGACATACTGCAGTACCAAGCTAAAGGAAAGTTGGATGTCAACACAAATGAAAGCATCATTTCCATTGCAAAAAGAAGATATACATGTCACAATATGCTCATTAAGCTGTACAACTAAAGCTAGGTTAGAAATGTAAAGCAGTTAGGAACACAAAAATCTGTATTTCAGATTTGGTAAATACTGTACAATTATTTCTACTGAACCTACAATATATACAATGAACAACAGTTATTTCCGAGTCCTCTACTTCCAAACCTTAATTGCACCATCCCTACTGCTCGAAATCAGAAGCCTCTGGTTCAGCTTCACAGAAGCCAAAGAGAGGACAGAATCACGGTGACATCCTGCAGAATCAGTGGCAGCACCAGCAAGGATAGTCTTTGTGGTCAATCTCATTGTCAAAGGTCGTCTTCTGCCCTCCTGTTTGTAAAAAAGATCAATATAAATTAGTAGGCCATCATCCCAGAACATAAGTGAGGGGCTATTTCTCGTCCAAATGCAGCTAGGTAAGTTTACAATCACAGGCAAAAAGAAGAAGCGATAGAGAACCATTGAACTAAAGAAAATCTTCAGTTTGAAAACGTACGACATTTGAATCCAACACTACCCCCCCCCCCGGGGGGAAAAAAAAGCCCAACCATCAGTCCAGTTTTCTCCTTCCAGGCATGGCCCAGGATTTTAAACTAGTACCTTTACAATGAGAAGGGAAGAAACTTCTCAAGGATTGCCAAAAAAACATACAACTTAAGAGTCCCTAATAATTCTGAATAGAAGCCTACCCAAATTTTTGAGAACTTCATTAGAAACAATTCATGTCCCAAGTAAAAAAGAGAAACAAATCATGATGATGCCATTAACATACCTGCACAACTTGCACACCGTAGTAAGACTTTGTCTCAAAACTATCATCATTTCCAACTCCCTTTATAGATGGTCCACATACACAATAACTTCGATCAGGGCTGAAGCATAGATATGCAAGGGTCAATAGAATTGCAATGACTGCCCAAATGCATAAAGAAAATTAGAAAATGTACCTGGAATGGTCCCAGCGACGTATTTTCAAGTCAGTACCCCCTGTCAATAGATCCCCGCCTGGCAACGGAAGTAAAGCACGGATGCCAGGAAGACGTGGAGGTGGTTCATTCAACTCATCGATTCTATATTTCGAATTAGCACTTAGCCTGATATCTGATTTGGCATTCCCCTTGCTGGATGCTCTGGCTAATGCCCAAGGCGAGTCAGAAATTTCAGCATCCGTCTCATTATTTGCTACCCTCAACACCTGCAAAAAGCAGAATAAGTAGCACAAAAATCCACCAGTATAAAAGCACGAAATGTTATTGCAGTGATTGAACGACAGGTGCCAACTGCTCATTCCATTCATCAGTCTAACTACAATATCGGGGTTTCGTATATCTTATTCGAGTGAATTTCACATTTAAAATCTAATTGTCTGTGACTTCCAAAGTATCCCAGCACAACAAGTATATTCTCTCAAAAATTACTCCCCAGATGTACATTATACTTCCCCCTCCAATCCTTCTGTATCTCCATAACTAATCATCCCTCCCAAGCATGCATGTTTACCAGCAAGAACATCTATATGGATCATATTCTTTCTAAAATACAACATCACATCAATCAATTTAATCACATTCAGTCAAATTTCACTCTTTTGCTAGATTCTTTACTATTTTGTAAAAAGTACAAAGTGATCCAACTGTACCTGATGGCAGCTTCCATTTTCTGCATTCCAAAGAGAAACTTCATTACACCCTGCTGCAACATAAACAAGAGGTCTGGTAGATAGGGAGAAGGAGGTACTAGGAGGAGGAACAAAAAGGCTCATTTTCTCAATTGGGCATGCAAGAGAATACTGCCATGAATTGACAGGTATTCCAAACCTCAAATCCCAAAGGGTAAGCACGCCTCTTGATGACCCAGTGACAAACCAGTTCCCACAAGGATCTGCAACCAGAGAAGATACATAACCCTCCTCAGGGACCACTTTTGAATTCCAAACATTTGAACTTGTTCTTGTATCCCACAGATGAATTCCACAATTCTGGGTACTGTACAAAATCATTTTGCAAGCACCACCATCAGGGGAGTAGTTCAAAAGGTTTAATATAGCACCTTCTCCAACTCCGTTCTTTTTAACATCAGCTATGCCTGAATATTTCTCCACAACATTGCCCAGTCCCCCGGATATGTAATCAACAGAGAACATGTGTATAGCTCCATCACAAGCTCCAACAACAACTTGAGCAGAACCCTGGATCACAGCAACACACAGTGCTCGACTTCCATCTAAAGAATAAGTTAGGCGCGACCTGAATGAGATATCTTTTTCTAACCTTTTAGAATCCCAAATTTTAACAGTAGAATCTTCAGATGCACTTACGAAAAAGCTATGGTCAGTGGAAACAGCTATGTCATTAACAGCAGAGTGGTGATCCTGGAGATGCGCAACCAACACCCCACGAGGCCTCCACCCTGAATCTGGAATCGTCGATGTTCGCCCAAAAGATGGTACATCTGCACCCTCACTTGAAGCAGAATTACTTTCAATTGAAAGGGAACTCCCTTTTGTTGTACCAGACACTCCCATTTCCAGAAACTTGTTATTTACAAAGGCTGTTTGATCCATTTCCCTGTCTTCAACTTCATGTACAACCCTTCGCAATTGTGTGGAACCACCACCAATGCTGATTGAGCCTGAGATAAACTTAGGAGCTGGATCTGAATTGGCCAAGCTAAATGATTTACTAACTGGATCCATCCATGGCAAGGATGCAGAACCAAAACCTAAAGAACCACATGGTAATGATGAATCAGAGACTGTTGGAGAGCCTGCAGCTCGTTTGTTATCAACTTTAAAGTAATACAAAGGAATGCCTTGTGATGATTTCTCCATTAAACTGTTCATTCCACTAAGAGGTGGAGAGATAAAACCGGGCAACTGCAACTTTTCAGAATCCAGGAAGTCGCCAGAATCCATAGCCATAGGACTTTGCACTGAGTTGCCCACAACTTTTGAATTCTGGTCATTATCATTACAATCTGCAAGATCCAGAGGCAGATTTGCACGTTCAACAACTTTATTGCTCTGAAGATCTCTTTGTCGGTCAGACCAGCACATCATTGGATCCAGCTCCTTCACCCCTCTCTGAAGAAAATCCACTGTTTCCCAATTTTTAGCCTGTGAGTCACTGTTGTACCATATTTTTCGCTGTCTCTCCAGCATGTCTGAGCTCCTGGCACTTTCTAAAACACGATAGTATCTCTCTCTTGACACTGGCGGCTCTAGGCATGAAAAAAGAGCCTTTTCTGAAGCTAAAGATGCTGGTTGTCTACGCAGGAAGGTGCGTATAACAGGCACAAGGAAAACATATGAATCTACTGCACCTAAACTCTCACTGCTAGCTGCAATGAATGTGACATCGGCCCTCCTGACCCATTGACTAGGATAACACAACAGTGGAAAAGCGTGTTCTATCATCTCAAGCAAGATTCTCTTCCTTAGAAATCCACTTTTGCATAAAATAGCTAGGCATTCCAGTGCATTCACAATTACAGCCTCAGTTACATCGCTTAAAGCCTGCTCAATGTATGGCAAAAGATATTCCTCGACACTCCTTTGTCCCACGAAAAAGCAGACATATATGATCTGTCCATAAAACACTGCCCTGAGTTGCTCATCTCGGTCATTTAGGAAAGCAGGGAGGATGGGCAACAAGAAATCATTACTCTGCCTCTGGCCAAAAAACCAGCAAAGATTGCCAATGTCATGCAGGAGTGCTCTCCTGATATTTGGTGTTTGCTTTGGGCCCATCACAAGTTCTTGAATGACATCCGCAATAGACTTCCTTAATTGCACAAGCTGTGCATCACTATTTGGACTGTATCTCCTTCCAGATGTATCAGAGGATGTAGAGAGTGACTTCTGTGGCGAACTTGATTCACTGAGAACTCCTGCCTCACTCAAACTTATAGAGTGAATCAAAAACCCATAAGCAGTAAGTGCCAGCTTAGATATATTGCTTGCATAACATATCCTTACACTTTCCTCTGGATCATCAGGGAGCATGGAGAGCATTGGAAGAATATACTCGGGAAAAATTTTAGCATCACTGGGTGGAAAATCTCTGACTAAGGGAAGAATGTCACATAAAGTCTCTAGGGCAGCACAACGCACAATTGCAGCTGGATCTGAGAGCATTGCAATAACATATGGAAGCACACGCTGCAATCGATCTTCATCATCAATGTATAAGGAACACGACTTCAATAGAAGCACAGCTCCTCTCCTCATGAATGGCAGTTTGACATTTCTTATGCAAGAACAGAGCAATGAGGCAATCAGAACCATACCTTCACAGCTCATGATATCTTGAGGTAATGGTAGAAAAGGCATACCAAAAGTGTCTGACTGGTTGTCATAATCCGACATTAATGAGTTCAAATCACTTGTTGTTATCTTTCTTAAGAAGGGATGGTGACTTCTGTTAAATATATTAGAGATACTCTGAATCAGCTCATCAGGAGATTGCACATCACACTGCTTTCTGTTTTGAGAATATGCAGATCTAGCCACACCTTCCAGCAACGGTTTCATGCTATGAAATCGATTATTTTCCTTCACATCCCTGAGTAGATTACCAACATCACCAAGAAGATCAAACCTATCATGAATCGAGCCCTTATCCACCTTTTCTCTTTTGCTACTGGTGTCCTTCTCCACATTTGTATTATGTTGTGCATCTGTCCCATGCAGAGATTGATGCATAGCATCTAAAGAAAGCGCCTCCCCAGAAACAGTCTCCTTGACTACACTACTGCTCATCATTTGTCTAAGAATCTCTTGAAAAGACGTCTGGCATATTAAAACCTACACCAAGGAACTTTCTAAATAAGCTTGAGCACAGCGTAATTATCACCAAGATAAAGATCAAGCACCAAAAATGCCTTACCCTTGCATCAGAATTAAGGGGATTCAACAAGGAATAGAAATTGTGGAGAAATGGAGAGAAGTAGCCAGGAAACACAATGCCAGAGAAGTTCTGCAGATAGCTTTCAGCAGAAAAACGTGCCTCCGGATCCAATTGAATCATATGAAGAATCATCTTGCGGATTCCTGAATCTGGAATCTTTATGCAAACAAGATAAAGACCAAAAATAAAAGTTAATTTAGAGATTCAATAAACACTCTAAGTGGACTAGTAGGCAAACACTTCAACCTATATAGTGAAGTCAATGTTCCATGAAATTTCTTGAAAGAGATTAATTGGGAAAATATGATGACACAAGAAGAAGCAGAGAAAGGTCCTTTGGTTAGAGCCAAGTTAAAATGGCATTGACTAGATCTTACTTTTTCTAGATGTTGGCTAGGATCATATTGTCCTCTACGATAAGCAAGCAGTTGAGACAACTCAAACAATGGCTGACCCTCGAGGAATAGCTCAGCTATTACACACCTGAAGCAAGAACATGAAATTGAAGAAAAGTGTAAATCCATTGTATCACAAGGCAAGAGCTTATTGCCATATAGATAAAGACATCCTCATCAAAGATTTGTGCCTCAACCATAAAAGCAACCATCCAAAGCCAAAAAAGTCAAGAAAATTAGTTTGTGAACTGCTTTGTATAACGTAAAAAGAGAACCTCTTGACCCAACCAATATGTATATACCAATAAAATGTAGCAACTAAAGCAAACAAAACTTAAAATGATAGACCACAACTGGATTGCTTGGATGAAATATGTAGAAATGATAGTAATTAATTTGATTGTGCTCTAACATGAACGCTCACTTGAGGGCTGTACATGATTATGCAAGCCCAATTAATCTCCTATACACTAGCAGTGTCTGTCAGGCCTGGATGCATGACAACTAATTTTAATTTCAATTTGAAATCCAAGTTTTACATGGCAAGCACCCAAGGCCAACAGTGCATTCATTGTCGGTGCATATAAGATTAATCCATAGACAAGAGCTAAAACAAATGCTGTTGATCTAGAACCCTAATCTCTTTTTCAGAAATACCAATTTGATTACCACATGATATAGAAGTATAAGTTATTGCAAAGAACTTTGGTTGTTTATGGACTCCTGCAAAAGCAACTGATGTGAAGCGCATCACATTCCTTGAATGGGTTTGGGGCAATTTCATTGCTGTTGTTGAGGAATAAATCATTGATCTACTTGTAGGATTTGATACAAAAGGTAAAAGAATCTTTACCCAATTTTATTAAAGATCTATTGTCACCAATGTACTGTATTAAACAAAGAATCTCACAGATCAACATAGTCCTACTACTTTCACATACTTCATCCATGTGGGCCAATTATAAGTCCCAACCACACTTTAGTCAGCCCCCACAAAAAAGAACACATTTTTTTCTCCATGTTTTGACTTACTTAGTAAGGTGACAATGTTATTTGGCTATTTGCACAACAGCAAGATCGTCAAAACAAAAGATGAACTTGCACAGCAAGCTAAAAGCTACAAGATGTGAGTTCAAGGAAATAACCTGTTCGAGCTTGCCAGATCAAGTCATTCAAAGTAACAGGCAGAAAGAGGGTAGAAAATGATACTGTTCATATATAGCGCAAAGTCCAGGATGCCAGAGAGATACTATCATCTATGTCCAATAAGAAACAATGATTCCCACTCACACAAACGATTTCAGACAAGTTTCTGACACATATCAAGCTCAGATCCAGAATTCCATCAAAAGATGAAATGACTATTGTTTTAAAAATGTAAAGCAAGACACAAAAGTAGAAATTTTATCATATAATAAAGAAAGACAAACATGTGATACTATCATCTATTTAATAAAATATCAATAAGACAAGCAATGTTCCTTAGATGGAAAAACAAATCCTGGATCAAGAAACATCTTATTGTTAAGTTAACATAATCAGATACTTTACTTCCAAGTTCAGGTTCTTATAAAACATCAGTGATATTTATGCTCAAGCAGCATATGCAGGTATAAGTAAATTAAAATTTCAGGGCAAACAAAGACTTGCACAAGGAAAAAATTATTCTTTCAAAATGGGAAAGAAGGTCTCATCATATCTTCAATTCAGTAAATTGCAATCTAGTGTGTGCATTTGTGTATTTCAATTCGCATAAATAATTTTAAAAGCATGTATAAGTTTAGTTAATGCCACTTCTCATGTACTGGGAAAAGCATATTTACCACCTTTAGGCATCACATTAGATTTCTCAAGCACCACTGCCCATGCTTTTACAAGACAACAACCCTCTTGGCAATAAAACAAAAGCAGTGCAAGGGGCTAATATAGAACAATTTGCAGCAGAAGGGGCACTAAACTTGTTAGTGATATAGGCTGAAGCCAAAGAGAAAATCTGGAACTTAAACAATAACCGGGAAGTAAAGGATTCTGGGTCAATTGATAAAAAATTAGCATAGGCAGCAACAATTGTCTTTTGATAGTATTGCAAAAGAAAAGACCCACATTGACCAAAAAATCAACTGTCACAATACATGTTGCCACTTTCAACACAATTTCCACTTATCTGCACACTGACGTAAACATGATTCTACTACTATGGAGCATTTAAGAAGCAAATGCTCCTTGAATACCAAAACTTCAAGAACCAAAGCGATAAATTATTTCCAGTGTATTTTTTAATAAAGTAATCTTCAATTCCAAATTATCAGCTCAAATGCAGAAAACTTACCCTACAGCAAAGATGTCCATTGATGGTTTTAATGGTGCATCTTGAGCAACTTGCGTTTCACCTCCATGCCCATAAAATCTCTGAAAAATGAAAGCAACTTCTATTAGTGAGTATAGACAAAAGGCAACTGTCACATTCACTAAATGCAATTCTCTCTCTCTCTCTCTCTCTCTCTCTCTCTTCATTCATTTTCTTTGTAGAAAAGAACTTCTAATATTTCACAGTCTAGTTAACCATGCTATAAATAACCAATTTTCCATTTGAAAGAGGAAAAGAATCAATCAATACTTGGTAACAATTTGATGATCATGTGTCATGAATGGTCAACATAGGATCAAAATTAATCTCCAGTCCGAATTAGTCTTACAGGGGATGATAATTTCGCTGATTGTGACCATTCAGGTGATCCATACTTCAGGTATTGGATTCTTCTACAAGACTTTTGTTTTTGCCTTTTATTTTCTACACTTCCTAATGCATTTTGCTTCCCATCATCATTAGCATAATGTTTATGTCCTTTCTGCACTAGAAGAAACCTAAACATATGTTGTTGTACCTAACAGACAAGGAGAAAAGAAAGTCCATTTATTTGTCTTCTTATATCCATCCATAACCTTATCACAACTGTGATCATGAATCCAATAAAGCTTACAAAGGCAGCTGCACAAACTAAACATAAATGGTCAGGGCTACCAAGAAAGTTGTGAAAATTGAAAAACAATATTTATCGACCAAAAAGTTCGAGAAGAGTTTCCTTGTTTTACCTTAATTGGACAAAGGGAGAACTCTGAAGTAAGAGATCTAGATGTCAAAAAAGCAATTAATATGAAATGTCTGTAGTAATGAATTTCAATTTTGTCAAGGGGGCGAAAAAACACACAGTTACGTAATTGCACATAGATTCAGCAAGGGTGTCATTTAGTAATTGTCATGGTAAGTGCTGTTTCCTTAAACATAAATAAGCCGTCTGCCTTGCACTAATAGGGGAAATTACGAATGTTTAGAAAGTTCATCTTCAAAAGGACAAGGAGGAGGAAGCAATATTTGGTTGTTACTAGTTGTCAGGCAAATTAAGAAAACCACTCCATCGAACTAAAAGAATCACCAATAAAGCTGATCAAGATAGTCAAGTACTTTTATTGTGAGTTAAGCTAGTGTCTTTGAAAAGAAATACAACCAAAAACTCATTCTAGCACTATGTATACAGACAACCAAAATTAACTTTTCATCTGAAATTGGATCTCACCAGCACAAACGAATAGGAAGCAGACAACATTCTCCAGAATACACCAAAAAGGTCATTCTTCTAGGGCACTTCTTACAGAAAATAAGAAGTTACTTCCATTAGTCACCAAAAGGAAAGAAGTTGACTCATATTAGGCAGGCCCTTTTAAAAAATGAGAAATATATGTTGTTAACTGCATAGTGTTTCCCCCTATCTTTATGTTTTATGACACCAGCCAACTGAAAGGTTGAAAGTCAGCCACTCTAATCAAACAAGCAATCCATTAACAATATGAAAAATCATGACAAGAAGTTCATATATCTAGCAAAACTTCTCTGCCAAGCAATTTTATACGTCCTCCCAGACCTGAATAATGAAAAGCATTGTTTGGATTGAGATGATTTCAGATAAAATAATTTGCTTCACAAATTCCAATTACCTTTTTATCTTCCCAGTCACCTTTTTATCTCACATACATCACATCATAAAAAGCGCTACAGTAATTATCTCAAATAAATCATCCAAATAAACTCCTATCCAAACAAACCCTCATAACTAGAATCCAAATTTATTTCATTAAGCAAAAACCAGAAAGGTACAATCATAAAGCAATGCGCCAATGAAAAAATTAGCAATTCAAAGTAACAGAAGATCTAAGCAATTTTATGATCATCTCAACTGTATCACATTCTAGGCAGGATATTGCCAAAATCCCAAGGCTTATGAGATGCTTTAAATTTGTATTAGCATTAACCCCTATAGTACTAGGACGAAAAGTTTAATTTGAAGTCAAGAACTAGAAAAGCTCAAACTAAAATATTATTTCCCATCCTGCATATGTTAACATAGATTTTCACATAAATATTAGATGAATTACAAAATTAAATTAAATTAAGCTTATCTTGCTAAATCTCTGGTTGGGAAAAAAAAAAGATTAACTAGAATAAGAAACCAACCTCAGGAGCAAGGTAACACCGCCTTCTTCCACCAGTGTCAAAGAAAAACGAAAAATCAGAAGGATCATCATGTGGAATATACGTCGGTTTGAATGATGCAAAATCAGCAAGATAAAGCCAGTTCCAGGAAGTAACCAGAACATTCTCACACTTAATATCACCTGCATCAGATTAAATTAAGTTACTTCTTCCTAAGAATCAATATAATGTTGCTAACAGAGGAGATTAAATTTACACTTATCTTACCATGACAAACTCCATTTTCATGGCTCTGTTTTGCAGCATAAAGCAGCTGCAAGACCAAAAATTTCATTAAGCCCTAACTGCAACTAAAAGACTAACACTGCAATGAGAAGAAAGAAAGAAACCTGAAAAGCCAGCCATTTCTTCTCAACAAGACTGAGGAAAGGTCGAGTGCTCAACCGATCATGAAGATTATTAAAAAAGTATTGCCTCAACAAGTAGGCAGCTTTGTCAGTTTCAAGCCAAAACTGCAGCATACAACATTTGCAAAATAAGACCATTTTAAGCCACCAAAAAAGCAAGAAAACAAAACAATCATAAAGTCTTAAACTCCTTAAAGCGACTAAAAACCACAATTATTCAATCATTCAGAAGGATTCATCAGTCAATGAGACAATTAAACATCTAAATGTAGATAAAGTAAAAGCCCTCCTTTTGGTGTCAAAAATTACTGTCAGTTTATGTCACACCAAAACTGCCCTTTAGAGTTAGTATTAAAACTACTCAAATCTACTTTCATTTTACATCATGATCTCAAAAACAGTAGCTTCATTTATTAAGAAAAAGAAAAGGGCAATATAACCATCTTTCCAGCAAGCACAGGCATAGGATATGCCATATACACTAGTCTCCAGAAGTTATTTCTGCCTTTCTTCATTTTCAGTCGAAACTTCAGGGAATTCGAAACCTAAATTTATGGTCATCACCTAAACACATTCCTACCAAATGTAAAAGGAAGAGAAAAAAAAAAGAATGCAAAGTATTTCCATCAAAGTATCAGCCTCGTGGTGCCCCCAAATTCCAATGAAAAAAACAATTTCAGACTGACATGAATGATTTACAAATTTGTCTTTATAAACCTTCAATTGGTAGCATAAACTAAATTATTTTAAATAAATACTACTTTACAAACACTATTTTTCCCTGAGCTCCACTTTCTCCTAATACCCATATTGGTAAACCATAATTCTACCTAGCTTGTAACAAAGTAACCGGGAGAAATTCAAATAGCAGCATCACTTTGATAAAGCATTAATCTGATGCAACTCATTTCCGCCACTGATGTCCATTGCTTTTGGCAATCCCAAAAGGAACACTAGTTCCCAGAGCTCGACTATGAACACGAGCTTAATATTTACTTCTGGCCCTTTGCTTACTACATATTACGCTCTCATTTAACTGCTTTATAAGATGCTGCAACCAAAAATTAAAATGCATCCCTTTTATTAAATATGCTTCACACTACAATTTCTCTTCCACGTTCTTCTAAGGAATGAAGTACTAATCTCGGCAAGGGTGATACCAATTTTAGCCCTATCCTCAAACTAAAATACAATTAAAATCAATTCACAAATATCAGTGCGAAGGTGCATTTATGTACAAATAAATGTACTTCAGAGTAAAAGTAGAGGCAGACCTGGAAGGGCCAGACATGAGGGTGATCGAGGCCAGTGAATACACCGCGAATTTGGGAGAGGCGGCGCTCGTAGTCGCGTAAGTCAATGGAGTCCCCTCTTTTGAAATAAACCTTGACTAGCACAAGTCCTTCGTCGTGCTTGCACAGGATCGATTTCAGGAATCGTCCTCGGCCCAAGACTTCTTTCAATACTAAATTATAAGAAGACGGTAAATCGTGCAGGTAATACTCCGTCGCCGAAGCTTGCGTTGTTCGCGCGATTTTATTCCCCATTCTGAGCTTGTGTTGTTTTCCCTCCAAGCGTTTGAATTAGCTAGGGTTTTGTTTTCTGTTTTGCTTTTAATTGTTTCTTTCACATTGCGCAGGTCCGGTTTAACGGTGACCGAAGCGCGGCAGAGAGGGGGATCGGAGGCGGAGGTGGTGATGGGAAGGGACGGAAAAGGGGGGAGCTGCGGTTGCGTGGGACTGTGTGGCGGAAGCAAGGTAATGCTACTGCAGCGGATCGTTAATTTTCCAGTGGTTTATTGCCATGTCATCAACGATTTGTTTTCACGTCTTGCACAAGATTGTGAAAAAGCGTGGACGTAAACTATTCAATGGAAATTGCATTTTCTCACGCTTTTCACCACTCCACTTTTTTTCTTTTTTTTTTATAAAAAAAAAACCAGTCAATGCTCTTTGCGGATAAATTTTGGCTTCTCCTTTTGTTGTGAATTCTTGTGCTTTGTGTTATAAGTAAGTTATTAAAAATCAAATGTCATAATTCGGTCAATCATTAGAAATTAAACATTAATGGTGTAATATATCGTATTGTTTTTCATAATTTATACCAAAATCCTACTATTAAGCAATAAATTGCCTTCCATATATTAACAAATCATCCAAAATCCTAGTATCGGGTATTTCTACTAAAACAAGTTTTTTAAATATAATGTTACAGTATTACACAATAACTCAAAAAATATTTTATCCATACAATATATCAAATATTTCAAAAAAAAATTATATACACTGTTACAGTAACATTTTTCAAAAACATTCCAAAAAACAACTAATCCAAACGGAACTAATAAGGGTGCCTTTGGGAGTTGAGGGTTTGGACTGAAAAGAAAGGGAGAGAAGAGAAAATCTGATTTTCCTTTGTTTGTGAGTTTTTAGTAAGAAGGAAAAGAAAAAAATGGGAGGATGAATAGTAGATAAAATTTTTCCTCCCAAATTGAAAAGAAATGAAGAGAAAGTTAGAGGAACCTTATAAAATTTTTTTAAAATACTTATTTTATCCTTAAAAATGTCTTGAACAAATATAATGACTTTCATATCCAAAATCATTCCACTAATTCTCAAAACTCCCAAATAACATAACAATCCCTTCTCTCCTCTCGTAACTTAAGTTCTCCCTTCTTCACTTTTCTATCCTAAACTCCCAAACTTAGCCTAAGTGTGTATTTATATCCTTTTTTGTTCTTTTGAAGGTGGCTAGCATTCTCGATAAAACATAAGAAGTTCTCCGATGCAATTAGGAGGAGGTACTTGCAAATAAAACAATAGCTTCCCCCAATCAAACTATTAAAGTTCAAGCCAAGTCGTGCAAGCACAATTAGCGCAAATCTTCAACGTTACGTGTTAGATACTTGGATATATCTGTGAAATGTTTTTTCGTGGAATTAAACTTCTGCAAATATGAATCAATTATTAAATAAAAGAAATAAATTGATTTCCTTTTTGTGCCCTTATCGCCATCATATTTACCTATTCCCTGTAATTTGCTAGGCTTGATTAGATTTAGAAGCAAGTAAAACAACGTTCTCAATCGCGAGGAAGAAACCATTCGATCATCAAAAAGAGTACGCCCATAAGAATTCCACACAGTATGGATTCACAGATCGGACAACTCAAGGAACAGAAGAACGCACAAGAATTTATTTAATATGGTAAATCACAGATCACCATAGATTCATATATCTAGGTATAATCAAAGGCGTATTTACATTTCCAAGTTCATAAAAAACAAAGAAATCAGAAGATCAACATTTGATAATCACAGCCGATGACGATGACGATGATATTTATGATCTTCAGTCTTCGTTCTTAATAGGATCTTCATAGTTGGGATCATTTACGTCGAGAGCTTCTTTGTGGATCCGTCCTAGCTCAGCATCGGAGTAACCGTCACCGGACCACGTGAACTTGCCGCCATGGCCACCTTTCTTCGGCGATCCATTCATGCCTGTAGCCGATTTCCTGTCTCTCCTGATCTCCTGACCGTTGCCGGCCTTCACATTTGTCTTGGAGCTTTTGCCGGAATTCTTCATCTGTCTCTCTCCACTCGTGGCTCTTCTGTATCTACTCTATCAATTGAAGCGAGTGAGAACAGGAAACCCAGGTTGGCAGAATTTATAGGAAGCTCGGGGGTTTGTACATTGGGAGCGGTATTTTAATCGCGACCTTGTGGGCTGATCATGTAACATGACAGCGACTGTAACAAATGGATAAGAACGGACTATTCTGTCATTTTTTTATTTTATTTTTTTGGGTATGGGAACAAACTCCGGTTTTCTTTACCAGCCAAATCAATGATCATACACTCACATTAGCACATTTGAGCATTGGGCAGTGGTTGTTGGAATTTAAAAACATTTTTAAAAAAAATTTGAAATTCTCATTACTTGATTAAAATTTGTAAATTTTAAAAAGAAATGCTGTATATAGCTACACCTTGCCATTGATTTATTTTTTGTTCAATAGAAAGGGTTTTGACTCATTTCTTTTGTATTCCTGCACATCATTACTCAACTATAGCATTCTAGCTTTAATGTAAACCCTTTGGCTTTGGTACAAATAAACTAGGTCAATTAGAACTCCACCATAGCCCAGAGAGAAGGGTCTTCACACTCACACGCTTTGACCAGGACAAGAAGCTGGATATACAAAACGGAATTGATACTTAACGTAAATTTGCAATGATTATCAATGACAGTACCAGTGCCTAAAGCATTTTACGAATTTTTTTTGTGAAAAAAAAAGAATAACAAAAAACTTATCCCACCAGTTTTTTTTAGTTATTAATGTACATATTTAATGCATTTCCTTCATAGATGAAGATGACATGACATTGATGTTAGACCAAATTGTTATTCTTGACTTGTACCCAAAGACACTCACAATAAGACAAGTCCAGATATTGGAACTTCTTATATATTTGAAAAAAGAAAAACTTTAGGAAAACAATATAATTGTTTGCTTAACTTCTGCTATGCAAATGAATCGTGATACTGCAACTAATTTACTATTTTCGACAAACATTCCCTTAACTTCTTGTACCAGTTTGCTGGTTAATTATTTCACTCAAAACCCTGCTCCAGAGATTGTTAAACTCAAAATGACTGAGGGCCTCGGACAGCATGCAAACCAATTGCAGTATAATTAATGGAGTTCAGAAATAATACCTATTTAATGGAGTTTGTTTGGATAGGAAGATATGCAAAAAAAATTAAAATTAAAATTTATTATATTTACATCATAAATACAATTTTCAATTATCTTTTTATCTCACATGCATCACATCACAAAAAAAGTGTTACAATAATTATTTCAAATAACCTCCTATCTCAGATGCATCACGTCTCAAATGTATCTCAGTCGCTTTCAATTTGATTCGCGATTATAGTATTGAAATAACGTGGCACGAATTGGAAGGAAGAAAATGAGAATTGTCCTATTTTCAATCATTATTCACTCTCTTTTTCTTCCCCGTCGCCCTTAAATTTTGTCACGAGGAGCAGAGGTGGAGCCAAGTATAACTGAGGGTAGGCAATTACCCCATCTTCCCTCCCCCTTTCCCGGGCAACAAACCCCCTCTTCAATTTTGAGATATTTTCTTTTCAGGCTTAGAATTTTTGAAAAATTTTAAGTTGTTCCTTATTTGAACCCCTTGAATTTTTTCAATTTTTCAATTTTATCTACTTTGCCCCAATATTTTTATAAAAATCTCTTTCTTATCTATATTGTCTGCCTAAAGAACTTTAAATATTTATTTTTCATTTACATTGACTGCTCTTAATAAATTAAAAATTAAAAATTTTTACGCTTCACAAGAAGTTGGATATAATTAAAATTAGTTATTCATGTAAATTTAACAATAAACTCTTTTAACGTTTCCAAACTACCACTACATTGTAGTACAATTTAGATATCAAAATATAATTGACATAATGAATAAAAATGTATGCTTAACATAAATGCCTTTTAGTTATAAATTTACTATAACTACAATTGATGTGGCGTCAAAAATTGAAATCTCAAATCCTAGGGCCCTAATTCCACCACTGATGAGCAAGGTGGGACTTCAAATCTTCTGTCCCTAAAGTATTCTCTGTACCCTCTGTCCCTTATTTGTACAGCTGTCACGTGTTTCTAACCTTTTGTTAACCCAAACTCAAATAAACCGATAATAATCAGTTTATAAGTTTACTTAAAATCAATTAAAACAGATAACTCAAAATTTTTTTAAATTTTTTTTTAACAAAAAAGAGTCTTGTTGATCATAAACATAGAAACCAACTAAAACTCTTCTTTATTTTTTACCCCAAATCAACAAGACTATTTTTTGTTAAAAAGAAAATTAAAAAAAGTTTTGAGTTATATGTTTTAATTGATTTTGAGTAAACTTGTAAACCGATTATTATCGATTTATTTGAGTTTGGATTAATAAAAGGTTAGAGACACGTGGCAGCTGTACAAATAAGGGACATAGGGGACAAAAACTACTCTGGGGACAAAAACTACTTTGGGGACAGAGGATTCGAAGCCGCAAGGTGGCTTTCCCGTGATCCTTCAATTGTTCCATAAGAAATAGTTATGCTCTTTGCATGTTTTATAATAGCTATACAATAACTATACATCTATACAACATATAATGCCTAAGTCACAGTTGTTGGTGTAAAATGACTTTTGTCATCTTTTAAACTTTCTATTTTATCCTTATAAAGATTAATCTATACGATACAATATATAATGCTTGAGTAATGATAACTGGTGAAAATTTTTTGTTGTCTTTTAAACTTTCAAATTTGTCCTTATAAAAATTAAATTTTATTCTAATCACCTAATTACATTTTGCTAATATAACTCCTCATAACCACCATAAAATATTGTAACTACCAAATTATTGTAATCGTATAAACCAAAACTTTTTTTCATGAAAATTTTATGCAAAGTTTTTGTATGTAACAAACAAAAATTTATACAAAATTGATCTATTTTAATTATTCCCTAATTCCGCACACATGAGGTGTGCCCTTAATGCGAGTTTATGATAATTGCAACTCCACTGTCTATCATATTTATTACATTTGCCAGAAAATTCTTCTGGTGATAAGAAAAAAGTTCTTTAAAAGTGACAGCAACGAGTTAAGAGTGATATGTTTCACTAGGTGCCTAATTAAACAGGGAATAAATAGATTTTTGGAAGATAATTGGTTGACATCAATGAATTCAA